ATGCCTTTTACAATTGAAGATTCATCTTAAGACAATATTTCACTATTAATAGTAATTACCATCTAGAATACCTACCTCATGCCAGGCATTTTTCTAAGCGCTTTACATACAATTACCTCACTTAATCTTCACAGCAGCTATATGGAGTAGGTACTGTTATTATCCCCATTTTACAGATGAGGAAACTGAGGGACACCAAGGTTAAATAAATGTGATCTTAAGAGTTGCTTAAGATCACATAGTTGGCTAATGGCAGAGCTGAGATTTGAAGCTCCTGGGTCTGGATTCATAATTACTGCATCATGCTGCTTCAAGGGAAGAAAAAAAATTATACAATTAGGCTTATAGTAGCATCACTCATAACATAAAAAATTGGGGGGAGGGAATTACATGTTCTACAAAGGGAATGATTAAATATAGTACATTTATTCAATAAATAATTATTCAACCAGAGTTGTTCAGAACTTTTGTCTTCCCAAGGTGCAATGGTATGGGCCACTAACTTCACAAAAGTCTTACTTGTCCTTTTGCAAGCCTTCTCTCCTTTTGAGCCACTTGTAAGGATCAGAGCATCCTGTTCCAATTGGGCACGTCATTATTTTCTGCTGCGGTAGTCTAGATACATATATTTTGTCATTAAGTGGAGTGAGTAGAGCTGGAGTGAAAGTTCTTTAGTAAAATTACTACCTTTCCTGGATACTTTAGCCACATTTAATGAACTCATACATTTCTCTGACCTCATATTCTCAGTGTTATTATCTTACCCAAGGACAGCTGTTTCTTATAAGTATGTTAATATAGTTTTCAACATATTTCTTATTTTAAATAGTTGTTAAGATCTAAGTAGAGTTTTGTGTTGTAAATGTCAGGAACAGAATTTCAAAATATTAAAAAGCAATATTGCCCAGCCGGCGTGGCTCAGTGGTTGAGCTGAGTCAACCTATGAACCAGGAGGTCAAGGTTTGATTCCTGGTCAGGACACATGCCCAGGTTGTGGGTTCGGTCCCAGTGTGGGGCACGCAGGAGGCAGCCGATCAATGATTCTCTCTCATCATTGATGTTTCTATCTCTCTCTCCCTCTCCCTTCCTCTAATCAATGAAAAAATATATTTAAAAAAATTTATTTATGCATAAACAAGTTGAAATAAGAAAAACAAATTATATATTTTAGGATGTTTCTTCATATATTCTTTTATTTTTTTACAAGAAGACTTTTTACTTTTTTCCGCAGTCTATGAAAATTTCTTGAATTTAATGTCTAAAAAAGAGATCCTCCCCTATGTATCACACATGACTGATGGATACACTTATAAGTCAAAGTTTCATGGTTAAGTCAGAATTATGAACCATTTCCAATGAACTACCAATAACTCCCTCCTTTTCTATCACTCAAGAAAGCATATTGGATTGCAAAGAGTGAGTGATATTATTTTTCTTTTTATATATTCTTTTATTAATTACAAAAATATATTCCAATTTATTAGATGTCTACTATGTGCCAGGAACATAGGCTAAGCTCTCTGCATAATTTATTGCTTTTAATCATCTCAGTAGCCATGTAAAGTAGGTATTATTTATTATTACCATTTCACAGATGAGAGTACAGAAGCTTGGAGAAGTTGAGTAAATTGCCTCAGGTCACACAATTCATAAATGGAGGAGTCAGGACTTAAACTCAGATTTGTCTGAATCCAGAGATCAAGCTACTAATCATACTGATACTATCTTTTCCAAAAATACATTTAGAGTTACTTTCTCTAATGTTTAGTTCTATGATGAAGTTCTAACTCTGCGGTTACAAATAACATTATGACTAATTGTCTTGGAAATGAAGAGAGTATCTTAAAACTAGAAAGGGCTTACACTATTGGCTAAGAGAAAAGGTCAAGTTATGAAGTTCTTTGAAAAAAGTCTTGTTCTGTTGATGAAATAAGGAAGAAAAACCAAGTAAGGAGTGTAAACGTGGAATTTGGAAAACCCTCGCCACAAATTTACATATGTTTTATAAATATACTAGTGGCCCGGTGCATGAAATTCATGCAGGGGGAGGGGGGTGTTCCTCAGCCCAGCCTGCACCCTCTCCAATCTGGGACCCCTCGAAGGATGTCCTACTAAAGACTTTGCCATTAACTCAAAGGCTGACACTTGTTCTGGAATGGCAAATTTAACATTTCTTGATACCATGAGTAGCTTCCACTATTTCTCTTAATTTTTTTGTCCTTTCTAATATTATTTTTAAACTTAAGAATAAAAAATTTCTTACACGTGTAGGAAAATGATTATTCTGAAGCCAGGTAACAAGTAGCCTCCATAACTGGCTTTAAACCTGTTCAGTCAAGCAGTAACTTGCCTCTTAGACACTTTTACAAGCCAATTAATTACCCTGTCAGTTTCTCACTTCTGAAGTCAGCCAATCAGTGCTGGACTCACTCCAATACCATGCCTCTGAATGGTATCCAACCAACAATAGTCTCACCTGAGCAATCATGCTTCCATGGAAGATGTCGGTCCACTTATGCCTCTGAGAGTCCACCAGTTCCTAAATCTCATGCAATTTGTTCTGCTTGAAAAGATTGTGTCTGACCAGCATCTCTTACTATAACAAGCAACAAGTTAGCTTTGTCTTTTTATTTCAGATGTTGAATGATGGTCTCATGGAACAATTTTGGAGGTTCCACTGAGATTGTTTTGAAGATCCTCATTTGGCAGCATTCCTGGGGACCCTTAGACCAATAGGTACATTCACTGGGCACCTTGTGCCAAAATTCTATTTACTCTTTAAATATGTCATCGAGATGATCACAACAATAATCTGATCTCTGACTGGTTTCACTGAGTTCATATTGCTGAATTTATTTTGTTATTCTGGGATTTGTAACCAATAGGACTTTGTTTTGGCCTAGATCTTTGTATAGAGTAACCATTTTCTTTCCGTTTAGAGGTGCACCAGTTGGTAAATAATTAGACCTTTGTATAAGATCATTAGACCTTTTGTTTTGGAGGTATGCCATTTAGAATTTTTTTTTACCGTTAACCTGTTTATTCTCCTGTTGCTTGCCTTGCTTTTGCTGCTATTTGTCTATATGTTGAAAGTCTATTTCCTGAGTTTTGTTTTGTCCTGGGTTGTTTTGTTTCTTTTGAATATATAAGAGAGTATTGCGTGGGGAACAAATGAAAGCATAGCCTGTCAAGTTTTCAACTCAATGCAAGACAGCCTTGAGGACTAATGGCTGGAGGTCTGTTAGACCAGTAATTACTTTATGAAAAAAAAAAAAAGGTTTGTCAAACTTTGTCTTTTATAGAGTCCTCTATAAAACCTTCATGAGGCTAACCTCTTGTTAATTTGTGAAAAAACAAAAGAAACAAAACTCACTTTGTTTTTTGTCTATACTCAGGTGTCAAGGACTGCTAGGTTGTTAACTGTATGGCCCCTTTCTTGTCTCTGCTTGGTTGGGGAACACAGAGATCCCTTCAAAATCCCATATACAGACTGACTGTTAGTAGCCTCTCATTCTTGTATGTTATGGGTTTGTCTATGTCTCCTCTTCCTCCTAGAACAGCTTCCATTTCCTTTAAGAAGCACCATCATTTTAACTTTTGCACTTTTTGTGGTAAATGGCAAAATAATTTTTTTCACTTAAAATAATAATGTCATGTTTGAAATGTCCAAATCTTTAATACTATCATTAGAGGAACTCTAAAAATATCAGGAGACAAAATACCAAATAATGCACAGTCAGCTTCTTTTATTATATTTATACTAGAGGCCTGGCACACGAAATTCGTGCACGGGTACAGTCTCTAGGCCTGGCCTGAGATCAGGACCATCTTCCCTGGCTGCCAGCAGCTGGCCCCGCCCCCTGCCACCCCCCCCGCCCCGCCCCGGTTCCCCTTTCCCCATCAGGTGATGAGAGCCTGCTGGCCGGCGGGAGGGACCGAGAGGTTGGCCGTGCCCACCTGCTCGCCAGCCCTGCCTCCTGCCATGGGTTGCCCTCTGTGTGTGGGGAGGCCAGAGGGGCGGGGGCCTTGGCCTGGCACCGCCTGTGTCTGCTACCACCCACCTCCGGTTCCCCATTCCCCATCGGGCGATCGGGGCTTGCAGGCTGAGGGCAGCCCCTGCATTGAGCATCTGCCTCCTGGTGGTCAGTGCGCATCATAGCGACCAGTCGTTCTGCTATCCGGTTGATTTGCATATTATGCTTTTATATATATAGATTTTTAAAATTGATTTCAGAAAGGAAGGGTGAGGGAGAGAGAGACAGAAACATCAATGATGAGAGAGAATCATTGATCGGCTGCCCCTTGCACACACATACCCCTCACCCCACTGGAGATTGAGCCCACAACCTGGGGCATGCACCCTGACCAGGAATGGAACCTTGACCTCCTGTTTCATAGGTTGACGCTCAACCACTGAACCACACCAGCCTGACAGCTTCTTTAATTGATATTTCAGCTATCAATCAGCTGATGTAATTGATATGCTAAGGCCTCAAAAAAATTCTAATTCAAGATAGTCTCCTTTATTGGCTAAGGGTAATAGAATTGCTGGAATAAACGTGTTGCACCAATGGATGATGATATGAGCAGAAAATATCAGTACTTTATGATTAGTTAAATGACTAGTAAAAATGTGCTGAGTATTTTTCATTAACAATAAGTAGTTACTGTATGTGATAAGATCAGATTTAAAGGTGATTATATAGTATAAAGATCTTATAGTATAAGATCTGAAGATGTTTCAACTTATTTAGTTAAGGCACATAATTGTTCTGAGGCAACAAAGATAAGCTTTGGCTACTGACTAAAAGGATTAGCTTTAATAAGCTATAGGTCTTAACTATGTGCCATGTTGATGAATTAAGACCTTTCCAACATGGCCTAACTTTCTCATGTTTGCACACACAAAAAGAAAAGTTTATATAATTCAGGAAGACTTTTAAGAGCTCTGTTCTAATCAACCTGCCTACATCCATGGAATCTTAGGAAAAGACTGATTTTTGCTTAGCAAAGTTAACAAGTAACCACAAGAACCAGTTTTAAACCCATTCAATTGATAAAGAATAACTGGCCCCAGAAAGCCCCTCATGAAAGTCAGCCAATTGGGGCAGACTCACTCCAATTTACACACCTCTGAGTACCAGCTAACCAACAACAGTTTCACCTGAGTAACCATGGACTACAAATGTGCCAACCTATTTACACCCTGAAAATTTGTCAACTCCTGGCACTCCATGCTTCCCCCAAAGACCCTATATTAGCTCAATAGTTTGTTCTGCTTGGAGAGCTGTGTCTGACTAGCATAGTCTTCCCATCCCACCCCCGCACTCCCCCACTATAATAAGCAGTAAATTCACTATGTCACTGAGTGGTAGTTTAATCATCCTTTGACAAACTCCTCTAATTATTTTATTATTTTTTCACCTCTTCTTGTTTAATAGTGTTAATAGTGATTGTAATTATGATAATGATAGTTTTAATCTCCATTTACCATACTATGCACTGTGCTAAGGGCTTTAAATGCATTATCTCAATAATTGAGGACTGTCAGTAATATATGGCTACCAGGACTTTTTAGATTTTTCAGGTAGCACTCAGACCTGAAGAAGTTATTAGCCCTGGCTTAACAGTGTGCTAGTTATTTGCTTGTTTGCTTTCAAATCCACGTCTCACCCTTTTCCTGATCCACTCAGTATCACAGGGGGGCTGACTCCTACAGACTGTTTGTAGGTTCTATGGTCAGCTGGCTTCCAGCTCGTTTCTGCTAGTGCAAATTAGCAGTGAAAGATGAAAGGCAGGCAGGGAGGGAGAAGGCAGGTATCTTTCCCCTTCCTGCTTCTGGGGATGGCTCTGGCCATAGTTACGTTTCCTTCCCTTATTCCAGCCCCTTTGAACACGCCTTCCTTCTTGGTGGTCATCACTTATATTATCCTGTTTGAAATACCTAGAGCACTTTCTGATTTCCTAGACCCTTACTGATACATTCATGAAGAACCAGTGGTAGAAATTGTACCAGACAGACTTGAGGGACTTGAGATGTAGTCCCAAGCCTGCTTCTAAATCACTTGTGAACTGGAAACAATCACAGTTTGGTGCCTCAGTTTTGCTGTCTACTTAATGGGATTGTAAGATCTTTAAGGTTTTCCCTCTCCCCCCAACTAGAACCTTCTATAACACTGGGCTTGGAAGAATTGGTTGAACATTTATAAGAGGTATCAGTTTTCCCTTCTCCCATGTAACAGTGTTAAGAAAATGCTTTAAAGTCCTTGATTACATTACATAAAGGCTTGTATATAGCTGTTCTCTTAACCCGATGAAACAGGAAAACACCCTTTTCTATAATCAGAGCAAGCTATATAATTTGAGGGGCTCAGTGCAAAATGCAAATGCAGGGCCCTTGTTGAAAAAGCAGGAAAAAAGTGCCATTAAAAATATTACAAACAAAATTTTTCCTTTAAAATATTTTGTTACTTATAAAATATAACGGAGGTAATAGCGATGTGAGTAATAATATAACTTACAAAGTGCAAAAAATATTTTGGTGTCATCTCATTTTATATAATACAGTACTTATTAATATGATATCTTGATTAATCATAATTTCATGGCTTGCTTTTCTGAAAATTTATTTACTAGACCATTAAAATAAATACATAATTTTAGTAATCATATTTTCAATTGATACAATTGAGAGAGACAATAGTTGCTCTTGGAAAATGAAAGATTGCACATAATTTTTTATAATTTTAAATTGTGACCAGAATCATTCTGCTGATGCAATTGTTATGAAGCAGTTAAAAGTACTTTATAGGCTGTGACAATATTTGGGATAAATTTCTGATAAGTTGTTCTGAACTAAAAATTTTAGTACACATAGAGCTGATGGTTCTCATGGAACATTCTTCATACAGATCAGTTTTGTGTAAGTCAAAATTTAATTTTAAATGTAAATTTATACAATGGCATTTTAATGCTTTCTCTGACATTTCCTGTAACTTATGGAGGTTGTACAAGAGACCAAATGTGGCTTCATGATTTGTATAAAATTCAAAAAGCTGGTTTATGCATTCTGTCAATGCATCTTTAACTACAAGGAAAAATAATAATTTAAAAATTAATAATTTTAAATTATCTTCCTCAATAATTGGTTTATTGAAAGCGTCATATGGAAATAGTGTAATTTTCTGTAAATTTCATGATCTTTAAACTTATGTTTTATTTCTAAGTCTGTGGATATGTGCTTTGCAATGTTGAAGCAGTTTTCAAAACCTGAGTTTCGAAACTCTTTAAGGGATTATGCTCACTCCCTGACACGCTTTTTGCAGTGTCCATGTGTACACTTTTATTTTGTAATAACTCACTGACAGCCTTTACTCCCAGTGTCCTGGCACTTCCTGTGCCGGCCTGGCCAGAGTTAGTATTTATGCAGATGCCACAGTCAGGCTCCAGGTTCTGATGGGCACCCACCATGGGTCCCAGTGGTGCCACCCACAGAAGCCCTCCTTTCTCTCATGGTGGTGGCCACTGCTGCAGTGGCTGCTGCTTTTGCACTGCTGTTGCCATCACTGCTGCCATTGTGGGCCTATGACAGTGATGGCGAACCTTTTGAGCTCGGCGTGTCAGCATTTTGAAAAACCCTAACTTAACTCTGATGCCGTGTCACATATAGAAATGTTTTTATATTTGCAACCATAGTAAAACAAAGATTTATATTTTTGATATTTATTTTATATATT